GAAAAGGTCGCCGGATCAGGGCTCAGCCCTGGTGGTGAACTGAAGGGTCGAAGGGGTTTAGGGTTTAGGGTTTAGGGTTTAGGGTTTAGGGTTTGGAGTTTAGGATTTGGGGTTTAGGGTTTAGGGTTTAAGGTTTAGGGTTTAGGGTTTAGGGTTAACCCTGGAAGGGGCCTATAGATCAATTTATGGGGTCTTGAGGCTTAGGGTTTAGGGCTTGGGGTTTAGGGTTTTTGGGGTTTTGGGCGTTTGAGGGTTTAGGCTTAAGGGTTAGGGTTTAGGCTTTAGGTTTGGGGTTAGGGGTTTAGGGTTCTTGCGGCTAGGGGTTTCGGGTTTATGGCACAGGGTTTGGGGTCTTGGGTGGAAGGTTCAGGGCTTAGGGCTTGGGGCTTAGTGTTTTCTCAGGTTGAAAGGGGTAAGGGTTAGGGGTTTGGGATGGGGAGCTTCCGGCTTTGTGCTGTGCAGGCTTGGGGTTCGTGGTCTATAGCCATAGCAGATTAGGGTGCAGGGCAAAGGGCTGGGGTTTAGGGGTTTAGGGTTTAGGGCTGTGGAGACTTAGACAGCAGTGGCCCTGAACCCTAAACCCTAATCGTAGAGACGTAGTCTGTTGGACTTGATCGTACGGATTTGGGGTCGTGCTCAGAAGCTTTTTGGCTGAGGCCCTGACGGACAACAAACTTGACAAATGATTCTTTGTCATCTTATCTTGCTCTTTCAGGCTTGGGTCTCAGAGTTTTGGGCATTGGCCTGCAAAGGCCGGTTTAGGGTTTAGTATTTAGGGTTTAGGGTTTAGGGTTTTGGGCAAGGTCCTTAGCCTTGGAACCGAGAACTAAGAACATGATTTGCTGGCATGCAACCGAAGCTACACTACTATTGAAAAGTATGCAAAGAAGACTAGGGGATACATCAAGACTTGGGATGGCAGCCCACGTAGGGTCATGGTTGTAAGCGCAGCCGCCCTTGCTGGTCTGTTCCCCAGTCCTTGTAGGAAGCCGTCGGCCAATGGGCTGGACAACTCTCGTACCGGATCTTGGTTCACTCTCTCTGTCCCCAAGTGTCCAAGTACCTAATTATCATATAATTCTCCCAAATAGTAACCTACACAACTACTATATGAAACCTAAGTACCTAATTGTTGGGTCCTTTGGACCCTTAGGGTGTTCGCTTGCCTTTCGATTGCGTCGGCGAGCGTGAACTTACCCGCCAAAGGGTCCAAGCACCTAACCATCATATACTCCCCCATATCTATCCTACACACAAGTACCTTACTATAGGCTCCTTTGGGCCCTCAGGGTTAAAGCCAGTTAAAGCTTGGTTGTTTTTGCTTTGGGGCCTGGACCCAAAAATAGGAGTCACGGGCTTGGGGTTCCGGGATTTAGGGCTTAAGGTCATGGGGCGAAGGGGCTTCAGGGATCTAGGAGTTCAACCCTATACCCCTAAACCCCGAAACCCTAAACCCAAAACCCCTAAACCCTAAAACCCCTAAAAACCCTAAACCCCTAAACCCGACCCTAAAACCCTAAACCTATAGGATCTATAGGAGCTTAGGGGTTTGGGCACGGTATGGGGACTCAGGATTCCAATGGTCCCGAAGGCCTAGGAATTCAGAGAGACGAGGGTTCAGGGCCGTTTAGGGTTTTTTTGGGTTTTGGGGCTTAGGGGTTTAGGGTTTATAAGGTTTAGGGTTTAGGGTTCAGGGTTTAGGGTTTAGGGTAGTTTAGGGTTTAGGGTTTAGGGATTAGGGCTGATCGGGTTTGGGATATCGGGTTTAAGATTTCGGGCTTAGGATTCTGGGTTTAAGGATCCACCTGCACCGAAGTACAAAGCTGGGTTGGCCGTTTTGTTTTGGGCCTGGGGTCTTTGAAAAATATAGTACATAGGATATAAGGTCCCTATAAGATCAACGTTCTACAGCATTTGAAACAACCCAAAAGCCAAACCAGTGAGGATCCAAACAAAAACTCAAGCCCTGTGCAATTGCACTGGGGTCCTGTAACCCCACCGCGAACCCCTAAACCCTAAACATCCCTAATCTGTCAACCCTACCCGGAAACACGGAACCCTAAACGGTAACCCGAAACCCAAACATCCCTAAACCGTAAAACTTAAACCACCCCAAATCCCAAGCCCACACCCTTGCACAGCGCCCTGCAAGTGCCCACCTTGAGCCCGACAGCGCTTGAACCACGTTTCGGCAGCCTCGAATCGGCTTAGGATTCACAGGGTTTATACTTGACAGGGTTCTACAAAAGGTACTGTACGGCTTCTATTCTGCAAGGCCTGAAGGCACACTTCATTGCAGCTTCTTAGCGACATGGCAGAGTTCGAGAATCCCGCCTTGAGCTCGAGCTTAGACGAAAACGTGGAGAGCTCGTGCACCATGGAGTTGAATTTCAACTCCATGGTGCACGAGCTCAAGTCCTCGTGGAGCCACATGAAGCTTGCATGGCACTCCTGGAGAATCTCGAGGCGTGACTTGCAGGGTTCATGTTTTGCCACGTCCAGCGATGTGTCGCCATTGCTTATAGCATGCAGCCGCTGCTGAAGGCCGGCGCAGAG